CTCCCCACCCGGCCCCTTTCCACCCCCTCTCTCCCGGCCCACAGCAGAGTAATTAGACACCGATTGCAACGGGCACTAGGAATCCGCTAGCTTGAGCCTAAGCCCACCGCTTCAAAACCGAGAAGCGAAGGAGGAGAAAGACAGCGGATATATAACCACACAGAGAGGGGGATGGGGTGGTTGTCCGTAGACGGAATTCGCGGTTTGTCTGACTGCTTCCTCCCATTTCTCTTCTTTATCGTCCTCCTCGGTCCCTGCCACCACTCCCACCCCCTCCCCAACCCCTCACACTCACTCGAAATCCCACTCGCTAGCGCCGCCGCCAAGCTCCCCCTTAGGCCCTCTCGTCAGCCCCTCAGAAAACTTTCAGGGCGATGGGGGGATGAGTTATTGTCGTTCCGTTTGTGAAAACATGAGGAGTCTGTCCAATTGTTTTGTTTGACGTTCGATGAAAGTCGGCGCGCACAGAGAAGCACAGGAGGGTGCGGGAAAACAGCGTTATCGCCGCGATCGGCGGCTCCAATCAGCCCTCCAGCCCCCCTGGCTGCTCCGCGCAGCAGAAACGAGAGGAAAGCAGGGCAAAAAGTGAAAACAAAAACTTCCCCGACTTGGCTGATTGCCTCGGCGGGGAGGGCCTTCGGGCCGGCCGGTCCGGCAGGTCTCTCCCCCAGCCACCGCCCTCAGCCACCTCAGCCCACCGAGTCGCGCGCGGCCCCGCGCCGCACGCCAGAGCCCGTTGGGTTGCCGACCCTCCCGGCGCCTACCTGGTCCACGCCCGCACACTTGTTGATGGTGATGGTGCAGCGACCGCCGCCCGCGTACGTGGCCGGGTAGCCCGGGTTGGTGAAGTACGTGAAGTTGGCGTTGCTGGTCGTCCCGCACGACAGCGCCACTAGGGGTCACAAACAACGTTCGAGGTCGTGTAGAATTGTCACTTTCTATGGGGCATATAAATATTATGGGGCTCCAAAAATGTTCAGGGCGGTTATAGGAGTCCATAGGGACCCACCCACGAAATTTTTTATGCCGTTATAAGAATATCGTGGTGTCCTTATGAAACTCCAATGATCAACATGAACCCTTTGAAACCTCATAAAAATTTCGACCCCCCGACACGGCACCGTTGCACACACTTACCGACGCAGCAGACGCCCAGCCCGCGGGCGCAGTCGCCGGCCGGGACGCCCCCGGACACGCCCGCGCAGTTCCTGCGGCTGGAGCAGGTGCCGTTCAGGCCGTTCTGCGTGACGCACGGCGAGTTGGGCACGGCGCGCGGTGGCGGCCCGAAGCCGAAGCCCAGCAGGGGGAAGACTGTGGCAAGAGAGCGGGGTCGGGGTGTGGGTCAGTCGACGACGGGGAGGGCTTCTGCTATGCGGGACCAGCAGCAGCAGCCCCAGCGGCGCCCGTACTTACAGCGCTCATGTCGGTCCGCGCTGGCCAGGACCACGACGGCCAGCAGCCCCAGCACCAGCAGGGCGACGAAGTGCAGTCGGCTCATGGCTCCTGCAGACTGACGGCCCGGGCCCCGAGTCGTCGCCCTCCACTCCCGGTCCGCTCCGCACGTCCGCGTCAGAAAAGTGTGCGCGGTCAAAGGACAGCGTTGGCACCCCCCCGGACACAGCTACCAATTAACAACTCGGCGCACGGAGCGGGCGGTACAGTTACCTACTCGTGTCCCGCTGCCCCGCCGGTGTGTGTCTGAACAGCGCTAGACTTTCCCTCGACAGCACTCTGACAGATGTGTCTGTCGCGAGGACCGCACCTTCCCCACCTTATGAGCCGTCACCAGAGAGACAAAATGCCAGCGAGGAATGTGACGATTGTGTTCAGTTGCACGCGGATTTGCCTTCTTCGACCAACTGTGAGGCGCCCCCTGTGAGTTGGCAAGCCCGCTCGCAAACACTGCGTGCTCCGAAACACCCGGCGGAAAGTGTATCGGAAAGCTAGGAAAGCATATAGCTTCACAAGCTAGCGCAGAAGGTATAAGACACCGAACCGATAGATCAAGGATATTCCTGCCTTCGATTGGCACTGATGAGCTGCTCCAAGCAGGGATGACCTCTATGAAAACTGTACCTACAGTCCGTTTTCCAGTACACAGACACGTGCGCCAAACTAAAAAGCGCTCGAAGCGTTTGAGGCGCCGGCCAGGTTCTTTAGTATTCCGAGGCAAGCTCTCGCATTTCGAAAGGGGCGAGAGACAATGACAGTCCGACAAGAGTAGAGGCCACAAGCAGCCGTGTCCACCTGCCTCAGTTCAGCCAGGTGGAGGTGGACCCACCTAACCGCACACTCGCAGGAAACTGCCACCAACCGTATGTCTTCATTTTCAGCGAGATTAATGCGCAATTCGTCACTGTCCTTCCTTCGCATCGTAAAAAGGGCAAAGGAATGCTGGCCGTCGTATTGAGATTTAAAAAAATGGCTTTAATTTTTTTGTTAAACTTTGGAATTAACGATACAGCACATAAGTTTCTGACGGAAGCCAAACATTTCCCCTATTCAATCCATCCACACGGTCGTGTTGTTGGTAGTAAGAAATGAATCAAAAGTCTGAAGTAGTCAGGGAACCGGAGTAAGAGGACTCGACCCCAAAGATTATAAATGGGAGACTGCATTCGCGGGGAAAAGAAAACGAACTCGAGTTGGGGCGCTGGGGTGTGACAAAGGGATGCCGGGCCTAACTCGGAGAAGAAGTTTTAATTATTGATCCCCCGGAAAGGGGGAAAGTTATTCTAGGGACCTCTGCGGAATCAATTACAGCTCATTAACTGGTAAATGGAATTCACTCCACAGAGCACACCAGGGCCGAAGACGTGGTGGGAGGAAAACACTACGTATTGTGCTACGCTAAGGCCTAACTATAGTATCCAGGAGAGAGCTGCAAAGACGTGTGGAACAGGATGCAAACGGAAGTACAGTACAACTAATTTTTAAACAAACTTTACTAAAAGTCACAAAAGTCGAGTACAAAGGTCCCACAAATAGTGGTCCGAACATTTAATAATAGATAGGTGTCTATATACATACACAGGTCAAAGGCGCAATATAAAGTACCACAAAAGTTGGATGTTAGACATTTAAAAAAATCTTATAACTACACGAGATAATACCACACAGTAAAATATGATCACAGGACGTATCAGTCGGGATTTGAGTTGCTTTGCCGCTCAGCCGCGACAATGCAACAGACACTGGATCAAATCCCGAGAGAAACGCCCATCTGACTTGATCCTCACCGGAGCGCTCCTCCCTCAGTCCACCACATCGCGCCCAGTCTACCGCTTCCAAAACTCTAAAGTCTTTTGAAACCCGGCGCTGTGCGCGCCCAGTTTGTTGGGCGTTAGCATCCGCCTCAGGGTGGGTGACTTAGGAGGCGATGAGTCCTGGCCCGCGGCCCGGGGACCCAGCCCCGTGTCCAGGGGAGGCTTGCGGGGGCTCGGCGGCGTGGCCGGCGGCTGCTGTAGTCGACTGAGGGCTGGGCTTGCGGGTTTGCTAGGGCTCCTCACTGACTGGAGAGCCCTCCCGCTGGGGCTGTCAATCGTTGTCCTGCTGGGGCTCCGGGCCGACGTCCTCATGGGGCTGCGGGCCGAAGTCCTGATGGGGCTGTCGGTCGTCGTCCTGCTAGGGCTGCGGGCCGACGTCCTGATGGGGCTGTCGGTCGTCGTCCTGCTAGGGCTGCGGGCCGACGTCCTGTTGGGGCTGTCGGTTGTCGTCCTGCTGGGGCTGCGTGCCGACGTTCTGATAGGGCTGTCGGTCGTCGTCCTGCTAGGGCTGCGAGCCGACGTCCTGTTGGGGCTGTCGGTTGTCGTCCTGCTGGGGCTGCG